TTGAGTTGCCATTAGAACACTACTCCAAATCCAGGTGTAATGAGTTTGCACAGTTCTTCAGAGACAAGGTTCAGGGTATCAGAAATGCCATCACCTCTACAACACAAGTAACAATGCAACATCCAGTGAGGCTTTGTGAGCTAGCTCAATTTGCACCTGTCAATGATGAAACTGTTAAAAAGATAATCACAGGTCTTAGTTCCTCTACCTGCAGTCTGGATGTACTACCTCCTAGATTCCTGAAGTCTGTTATGTGTAGTCTATTACCCTCATTGACACAAATAGTAAACATGTCTTTTTTATCTGGAACATTTCCAATGGCCCTGAAAAAGGCAGTCATCAGGCCCCTCCTAAAAAAGAGCAGTTTGGATGCTGCGGTACTTGAAAATTACCGTCCCATCTCAAATCTGCCTTTCATGGGAAAAATTCTTGAAAAAGTTGCCTACCAACAACTTACTGAATTTTTAATATCTAATGACTCATTTGACATGTTCCAGTCTGGCTTTAGACCACACCACAGTACTGAGACCGCTCTAGTCAAGGTAACAAATGATATTCGGCTTAACACTGATGCAGGAAAAGTCTCTGTTTTAGTCATGTTAGATCTGAGTGCCGCTTTCGACACCGTTGACCATGAGATTCTCATGCAGAGAGACTGGAGGACTGGGTTGGTGTTGCTGGTACCGCCCTAAGCTGGTTTAGGTCCTATCTAGAAGAAAGGAAGTATTGTGTGGAGATTGGAGACTATGTCTCAGATAATATGGCCCTGACCTGCGGAGTGCCACAGGGGTCGATTCTGGGACCTCTCCTGTTCAATATTTACATGCTGCCATTAGGTCAGTTAATTCAAAGTATGAAAGTGTCCTACCACAATTACGCTGATGACACTCAGATCTATGTCTCACTGACTGCAGGAGAGCATGGACCGGTGGACTCACTCCTTCGCTGTATCCAGCGGATCAGTGAGTGGATGCAATGCAATTTTCTCCAGCTAAATGCGGACAAGACCGAAATGATTGTCTTTGGTCCCGAGAAACAAAGAGAGACCGTCATTTGTCACCTTCAGTCTCTCTCCCTGGGGCCTTTAAATAAGGTCAGAAATCTGGGAGTAATAATGGACTCTGACTTAAACTTCAATAGCCACATTGGATCGGTAACATCAGCAGCTTTTTATCATCTGAAAAATATTGCCAAAATTAAAAATATTGTGTCCAGGGCAGACTTGGAGATTCTTATCCATTCTTTTGTTTCCAGTAGGCTGGATTACTGCAATGGCCTGCTCACAGGTATCTCCAAACATGCAGTAAAACAGCTGCAGTATATTCAAAATGCTGCAGCCCGAGTCCTGACTAGAACCAGGAAGTACGACCACATTAGTCCGGTCCTCAGGTCTCTGCACTGGCTTCCCGTGGCCCAGAGGATAGACTTTAAAGCAGCTCTCCTGGTGTACAAGTCTCTCCATGGCCTTGCACCAAAGTACATCCATGATATGCTAGTCCCATATGAACCAGCCCGGACTCTGAGGAGCGCAGGGACGGGACTCCTGTTAGTGCCCAGAGTCAGGACTAAACATGGGGAGGCTGCTTTTCAGATTCATGCTGCTAAAATCTGGAACAGTCTTCCTGAGGATGTGAGACTGGCTGCCTCTCTGTCAATGTTCAAATCCATGTTAAAGACTTTTCTTTTTTCCTGTGCATACAACTAGAGAATTTTATCTTTTTAACACACCTTGTTATTTATTGTTGTAACTTTTTGTGTTTTTAACTATTTTATTGTTTTTAATTACTTGTGTGATTCTTATGTTTTTAAATTACTTATGTGATTTTAATGCTTTTTAATTACATATGTGTTTTTAATTGTATTTTAATGGTGATGATTTGTGCATTGTGTGGTGTGGACTGTGAGGCGCTTTGTGTTGCCCTGTGCAGGAAAAGCGCCCTATAAATAAAGATTGATTGATTGATTGATAGAAGAAACTGATATTCTCCCTCAATCTGGGGCTCCACGCAAGATCTCACCCTCTCTCATCGTTGAGGTTTACTTATGATGAAAAATACAGGCCTAAAGACTAAATACTTTTTTGTCCCACTGTATATAACTTTATAGGTTTCCATAATAATATAATATTAATAATAATAATAGGGCGACAGTAGCTCAGTTGGTAGAGCATTGGCCTTTGGGCCTGAAGGTCGTGGGTTCGAGCCCACCGTAAGACCTACTTCACGACTCCCACTGATGACTGCTGTCGTTGTGTCCTTGGGCAAGACACTTAGGCCCCGTCTACACGTAGCAGGGTATCTCACAAACCGAAGATATTTTCCTACGATCTGGCCTATCATCCACACAAACCCGGAGTTTTCTGTCGATAAAAACGAAGGTTTCTGAAAACTCCGGCCAAAGTGAAGATTTGGGAATTCTCCGGTTATGCGTTTGAGTGTGGACATAAATAACCGGAGTATTCGGCTGTACGTCACTACCAGCGTGCTGCTCTGACGTCACACGCGCGACCTGTGTTTACATCAGAAACAACATGGAGGCCATCAAAACCGCTTTTGTTTTAACGATTGTTCAGGCACTTTTTGCTTGCTTGTTTTTACAAGCTCAAATACTGCTTCATGTTGAAGAGCACAGACGAAGGAGCACTTTAAGGTCGGCTATTTTCCGCCAAATAACCATCCCTCGTCCAAGACATGTTCCTCGTCAAAGACGGCAACGGCAATTTTGGGTCAGACCGGGACGCACTGCCAGCTGGTGGGAGAACTTTGAGATGGAAGTCGTCCTCCCGGAGGAAGGTAGGTTTGTAGGTTTGAAATGTAATTGACAACGCATGTATGCGGTTAGGTGTGGATGCCGTTTTTTAAAAAACCGAGGCTGTGTGGACAGAAGTTTTTTTTTAGGCGGAGGGCGGATTTATAAATGCCCTGCTACGTGTAGACAGGGCCTTAACCCTACTTTGCCCAAAGCCCCAACTGAAAGATCTCAGCTCCTGTGGACTCACCACCTGCAGGAGGATCAGTGAGGGGCTGGTGCTCTGTGGACTGGGTGCAGCTCTGACTGCCGCCCCCCCGACCCAGAAATGGATTAAGGGGAAGAAAATGGATGGATGGATGGAAGGTTTCCATAATCTTGCATCTATAAACTTATTACTTTTTCACTCAGATCTGTGTATTATTCTATGGCCCTAAATCACAACAGCAGGACTTTCCAAAATGTTCTCGCCCCAAACTGGAAAGACAAAGAGAAGAACACCCAGAGGAGTATCCAGATTACTGATGACCGGTGATTTTCTGCTTTGTCACGATGATAATAATCTGTGAACACGAACGTTGAGACCAGGAAACTACTTCACAAACTTGTTTATGGAGCTGTTTCCTCTCGTACTGGAAAGAAAACACAAGAGATGAGAGATGAAAGCGATCTTTACTGCGGCTGTCTGCGCTTTATCTGCAAAAAAAGATAAAATATGAGGTCATAAATGCTTGAATCAAGAGTTTTTTAATCATAATATGAGTACATTCTGAATAACAAGAGAATATAGCTTTGTCCCATTGGCAAATCTTGTTTTAAGGCAGAATGTGCTTAAATTAAAATATATTTGACAACATTTGAGTAATTATCGAACTATTTTTCCTCACTTTTTGCAGTGTAGTATTACTGGCCTGAAATAAAATAAAAAGCTTGTATTTAAACATGCAGGAGGCTCCAAGGGCAGTGGGGAGTGTGTAAAATGTATCATGATAAAAAAGGTTATATTTGTATTTATTTTTAAATCTTTATTTGACTAAAAAAAGTATTGATACTTAATATATGTACATTAAGCATTCTACAATTTCTGTAGAATGTTCATATTGATTTTATTGGATGTGAGACGGATTAAGATTTTTACGAAAATGTGAAGGTTAAAAGGAATTTTTGCTTGTTCGCTTTGTTACACATGACACTTTATCCATTTATCTTGGAATAAAGTGTATTTTTTCGCTTAATTTATGCCATAAATATAAGAAAAATATAATTGTAGGAATATTTTTGACCAATATATCGATAATCGCTGCATCGTCATGTCGTGAGATAATCGTTATCGTGAGCTTTGTATCGCACTTTGTTTCATATCGTGAGGTTCCCTGAGGTTCCCTGAGGTCATCCCTGTCTCTTGCTGGGTCTCTCTCTCTCCATCTGTCTTTCTCTCTGTCGCTGTCTCTCTCTGTGTCTCTGTCTGTGTGTGTGTGTCTTTCTCTCTCTCTCTGTCTCTGTCTGTGTGTGTGTCTTTCTCTCTCTCTCTCTTTCTCTCTGTGTCTCTCTGTGTCTCTGTCTCTCTGTCTGTGTGTGTCTCTCTCTTTCTCTGTGTCTCTGTCTCTGTCTGTGTGTGTGTCTTTCTCTCTCTCTCTCTCTGTGTCTCTGTCTGTGTCTCTCTCTGTGTCTCTCTCTGTGTCTCTCTCTGTGTCTCTGTGTCTCTGTCTCTTTGTGTGTCTCTCTGTGTCTCTGTCTCTCTCTCTCTCTCTGTGTTTCTCTCTCTCTGTGTCTCTCTCTCTCTGTGTCGCTCTCTGTGTCTGTGTCTCTGTCTCTCTGTGTCTCTCTCTCTCTCTGTGTTTCTCTGTGTCCTTGTCTCTCTCTCTCTCTCTCTCTCTGTGTGTGTCTCTCTCTGTGTCTCTCTGTGTCCTTGTCTCTCTCTCTGTGTCCTTGTCTCTCTCTCTCTCTCTCTCTGTCTGTCCAACCCAAAATTGCTGCCCATCTTCACATGCGGACTTTGTACCGCGGGAACGGCTCATTTCTTAACATTTCTTTCATTATTGACCGGGCCACATGGTATTGCATTGTATCTCAAATAGTAAATCCCACATCAAAGCTGACCGTTTCTCCTGCATCGTCACTGGTCAAATGAGGTAAACTCACCGGAATAAGCCCCCCCCTGTGTGTGTGTGTGTGTGCGTCTTAATTCTCCTGCATTGTTATTGTTCAATTAGATCCCTGTTGAGAGCCGGATTTAATCTCAGGGTTTTTGCCTAATAGTCCCCGAGTCTGAAAGCTTTCTTGCTTCTTTGTGGATCTTCAGATGGACGGTGCCAGCGCTGGGGCCCGTGGTTATCAAAGCCACTTCTCCTTTCTGGGGTAATGGCTACGGGCGGAGGGCACAGACCATTCTCCATTTGTGGGTGAGGAGTCAGATCCGTGGCCAGCCTGAAACCAGAGCGAGATGACCTTAAAAGAGAATCTAAAGCGGACTTACTCAACACGGGGGGAACAGGAGGGGGCTCGATTGTTTGCTGTTGGAACAGGCTCCGCTGCGGCGCTTGGAGACAGTTAGAGAGAATAATATTTGTGAGAATCTTTCCGTCCGGTTTTTCCATTCGATTCTTCTGACAATAAACACACAGGGGTCAGTGTTGTGATAAGATGAAAATATTACACCTGAGCAGGAGCGAGCAGTTGGACCAGCGCTGGGTCTGGCTGGACCTGGACCAGTGTTTCCTAAACTTGTTTTTGATTCATTCGAGTTATTATTATTCTTTTTTTTAAATACTTAATTTCTGAGTTTTTGCCTTTTAGAATTCAAGGAAAATGTCAAAATAAAAATAACCTCACAAGGCAATATTTATAATGCAAAGACAAGAAAATGGTAAAAAAAATATGTCAATTAAAAATGGACAAAATAAATAAATAATAATAATAATGAAAAAAATATAATTGCGGTTGTTTTTGATAGATAAAAATAATGAGAACTGAGAGAGAAAGTCGGTCTCATTTAAAATTATGGAGTAATATATAAGCAGATAGAAAAAACTAGTTTCTTCAACAGCAAAAAAAGGTGATATTAGATTATTTTACCCTTTTCACCGGTCTCTCCAAAACAGCTTTTCTTCAAAACTCGAGTCCTGCCTAGAGCCAGGCGGCAGTGCTAGTAGCTCAGTTGGTAGAGCATTGGCCTTTGAGCCTGAAGGTTGTGGGTTTGAGCCCACCTCAAGACTCTCACCATCGACTCCCACTGTCTGCTGTCGTTGTGTCCTTGGCAAGACACTTAAAGGCGCTATACCCGTTTCTGCAATGTTTGAATGTTTAGCACCGCCCCCAACTCGCTCACAGGCTTCTCATTTCCCCTGCGCTCTCATAACACGGAGCCACCTAGTTTTATTTGCAATCTGATATGTATGCTAACATTAGCATTAGCACAACTTCTCGTTACCTGTGCAAACAAACACAATATATAAGTTAAAGAATACCGCTAGTTTCGCATCCGAATGTATTCATTTAAACATTAGAATATATTCTAATATTTAATTATAATTTATTATACAGCTCCTCACAGCAGCAGTAGAACACTCCAATGACTTGAATGCAATTCTTCCGATCATTTTTTCTTGATAACAGAACTCTCAAACCAATAATGACCGCAGCCCCAATGCAATCTCTGTTTGTAATTCAGGTGTGTAAAATACTGCCATTACTTTACTTTCAGCGCCTGTCACTACATTGTCCAGTTTCTCTGCACACTTGTCTGTGTAGAGATGCTAGCCACACTCAATAAACAACTACATATCTATCAATCAACACCATTAAACGTTAATCGGACAATACAGTATACATATACATCCTTAACACACATGCACGGACGATTTCAGAATTTGCTGTTAACGTTTTCATGACAAAAATACTGTTTTAAAGTGACAAAAAGCGATTGCGAAAAACCCGGAAGTTACCATGAAACAGCTAGCTAGCTTAGCTGTTACCTGCCTAGCACGTCCCGGTGAAACCTTTGGGAGCTAACTATTTTATTTGCAGTCATTAAATACATTTCGAATTATAAGGGCTGTCTAATATTTGTTCGAATATATATATATATATATGTATATATATATATATATATATATATATATATATATAAAAATTATATATATATAAAAAAATTTTTTTTCTATTTTAGAATTATATTTGAATTTTGGAGTCAAAGCCCTGGTGTTAAGCAGCGCTGTAGAGGCTAGAGGACGCAGGCTGGTCGCTTCTTGTTCTGTGAGTGGAGGAGAACGTCCCGCTCAGACTCTACTCAGCACTTTTCACTGCTTGAATTTCATACACAGTGGAATCAATGACCTCATGTTTTCAATTAAATGATGTATTATGATACAACCTCTGGGAACACCAGCCACAGTGGGGCGGCTGTAAAGTGCCAAACTGCTGGTGTGTCCTTAGGCAAGACACTTCACCCCCATTGCCTAGAATGAGTCCGGTATGTGTGTGTGTGTGTGAAAGGTTGGTGGTTGCCTGGCTTCTGTCAGTGTGCCCCAGGGCAGCTGTGGCTACAGTAGTAGTTTATCACCACTGTGTGTATGGTCTTGGGTGTGAGATCAGGGCTTCGGTGTGAGATCGTTCGTCTGTTATCATTTGTTGAGCCCCGTGTTCCGCCTTCTGCTGAGTCAGACGCAGCAGGTGCAGCTGACGCACACAGGGTCTCCACCAGAGAGGCCTGAGGGACGAGAGAGAGACAGAGAGAGACTGAGAGAGAGACCGAGAGAGACACCGAGAGAGACCGAGAGAGAGACTGAGAGACAGAGAGAGACCGAGAGAGACTGAGGGAGAGACTGAGGGAGAGACTGAGGGAGAGACTGAGGGAGAGACTGAGGGAGAGACTGAGGGAGAGACAGAGGGAGAGACAGAGAGAGACAGAGAGAGACAGAGAGAGACTGAGGGAGAGACTGAGGGAGAGACTGAGAGACAGAGAGAGACCGAGAGAGACTGAGGGAGAGACTGAGGGAGAGACTGAGGGAGAGACTGAGGGAGAGACAGAGAGACAGAGAGAGAGACTGAGAGACAGAGAGAGACCGAGAGAGACTGAGGGAGAGACTGAGGGAGAGACTGAGGGAGAGACAGAGAGACAGAGAGAGACTGAGGGAGAGGGAGAGACAGAGAGACAGAGAGAGACTGAGGGAGAGACAGAGAGAGACAGAGAGAGACTGAGGGAGAGACTGAGGGAGAGACAGAGAGACAGAGAGACTGAGGGAGAGACAGAGGGAGAGACAGAGAGACAGAGAGAGACTGAGGGAGAGACAGAGAGACAGAGAGAGACTGAGGGAGAGACTGAGGGAGAGACTGAGGAGGAGAGACTGAGGGAGAGACTGAGGGAGAGACTGAGGAGAGACTGAGGGAGAGACTGAGGGAGAGACTGAGGGAGAGAGAGACTGAGGGAGAGACGAGTGAGGGAGAGACTGAGGGAGAGACTGAGGAGAGGAGAGACTGAGGGAGAGACTGAGGGAGAGACTGAGGGAGAGACTGACTGAGGGAGAGACTGAGGGAGAGACTGAGGGAGAGACTGAGGGAGAGACAGAGAGGGAGACAGAGAGGGAGACAGAGAGGGAAAGAGAGACTGAGAGTGAGAGACTGAGAGAGACAGAATAAGACAACAGACAGACTCTGAGAGAGACGGAGACGAGAGACCGAGAGAGAGACGAGAGGGACATGAATCGATTATATCACGGACGCAAATTGCAGCATGTAAAGAATGGGAACGATATGGAACGGTCTCTGACTCTTTCCTGGAAAACCTGCCCTTTTCTTTGTGAATGAACAGACACTGCACCAAATCTCTCAGTATCTCTCTGTGACTAATCTCCGCACTAGTATCTCGCGTCAAAGCATCTGCTCGAATGTCCTTGAGCGCCGTAGTCACTCTTTCCTCCGCAAGTGACAAGTGTTGCTTTTGAAAATGCACCGGTAGAGCCCCGTGCCCTTCGCGTCCCCTACAGAGTCGTACCTGTGCTCCCATTGGCTCCCATTGGCTCCCATCCCCTCCCGCCGTACGTCCCACCGGCAAATCAGCTGACGTGGACTGGATGTTTCACCGATTTCGCTTCCTCTCTCCTCTCTCCCCTATCGCCCTGACGCTACTATCGCTAATCTATGTGCAAACAGGTCTCTCCTTTCAACCAGTGTCATCAAGTCTGAGAGAGAGAGATGGAGTGAGAGAGAAGAGAGAGAGAGAGAGACTGCCATTCAACGGTGTCATTCTGACCACGATTTTCATTTCTCCGCTCTCCCTTCTCTGCCGTCTTGTTCTTGTCGGTGAAAACAAGGTGAGGGCATCGGGAGGCTGTTTGTGTGACGTTTTGTGTGAAGTTTAGTTTTGCGTTTGCTGCGGATCTGACCGGCGGTGGTTTTGGTGAATCCGTGTCCTTGGGTTGCCTTCTGCAGCTGCGTATGCTGGAGGTGTAACAATTAGCAGTGGCAGGATGCTGTTGTGAGTCATTTCAGTTGACGTGTGTGTGTGTGCTTGTGGTTGTGTGTGTACGTGTGTGTGTGTGTGTGTGTGGTTGCCGGCGTTCGCTGAGGGGGCAGATAGAGATGTGAGGAAGGGCACAGAGCTGCAAGGTTAATCAAAAAAAAGAATGCAATTATTTTACTTTCTTGGTGTAGGGAGGCAACTTGAAGTTAAGGGCACTTTGAGTTCTCTCTCTAGTCTCTCGCTGGTCTATCTCTGGTCTCTCTTTCTGGTATCTCGCTCTTGTCTCTCTATCTAGTCTCTCTGGTCTCCCTCACTGGTCTCTCTCTCTGGTCTCTCTGGTCTCTCTCTCTGGTCTCTCTGGTCAGTCTCTCTGGCCTCTCTCTGGTCTCTCTCTCTCTGCTCTCTCTCTGGCCTCTTTCTGGTCTCTCTCTCTCCGGTCTGTCTCTCTCTGATCTCTCTTTCTGGTCTCTCTCTCTTTCTGCTCTCTCTCTGGTCTTTCTCACACTTCAGCAGTCATGAATTTATGTATATAAATATTATGTGTCCTGTAATATCACTACAGCCAATAGAACCTCGATACGGCTTGGTCTTGGTCTTGGGCTTGGTCTTGGTCTTGGTCTTGGTCTTGGTCTTGGTCTTGGTCTTGGTCTTGGGTCTGAGTGGGTCTGATCCCGGAGGAAACGTCTGTGGACAGAGTGTTGACAGCTGTGATCCTGGGAAGTGTCCGCTGCTGGGTCCGGTTTAGAAGACGCTCCGACAGACGAGGCCGAGAACATGTGTTTTAGATAATGGAATTAAGATTATTATAATGTTATATTTGAGCTAAAGCTTCTGAATGTGACCTGTCAGACCCACGTCTCTCTGTACTTGTCAAACACATTCTTGCACAGTTTTTCCAATGTGGTTTTACTGCAAATGGAAAATAAATTCTAGAATCTTGATTGTAATAAGACACAGCGAGTTGTTCAGATGAGTCCACACAGGTCTGGACCAGCGATGCACAGAAGTCTATGGACCAGCAAATCCAAGTCAGGTCTGTGTCTCTGGACCAGCAAGTCTGTGTCTCTGGACCAGCAAGTCTGTGTCTCTGGACCAGCAAGTCTGTGTCTCTGGACCAGCAAGTCTGTGTCTCTGGAC